CCAGACAAATACTCTTGTCTCGTGCCATGGCTTAGTTTATTGTCGTCTTCGTTTTCGTTTCCTTCCTCCTCCCTCGCCATGTACACTCCCATCTGTTCACTTAAAAAAATTGTTCTTGAAAACTCTCCAGCACTAAATCATCGCGAGTTCCGAGGGGTGGATAACTCCCCTGCTAAACACCCCTAATTCAGCCCAATTCAAACTAATTCAAACCAATTCAATTTAATTCAACACAATTCAGAAATAATTTAAGACAATTCAAAAATAACTCAATTAATTCAGTCCAATTCAAGACAATTTACATTCATTTTAAGCCAATTCAATAAGCGAATTCACGCCAATTCAGTAAAAGAAAATCGCAATAATTCAGTCCAATTCAAAAACAATTCAACCAATTCAGTCCAATTCAAATTCAAGCCAATTCAAATCCAATTCATGACATTTGTACACCTAGGCCTAATTCAGGAGTTATCTACCCCTCAGCGGGTTCCCCGAATTACGATATAAGGAAATGATCAACAAGAATAAGCTAAACAGCTTTGCAGCCCGGCCCATTAATAGAGACCGGAAAAAATGGGCTGGCGAATGTTTCTTATAATGCTGATACAAGTCTTTCCAGCCAAGTTTTGAGCCACCATCCACTTTAAACTGAGAGGGTTTCAGTGCAACAAAACGAGCCTCATATCTACGGGAACGCACCGCTCATCTTCAGAGGTGAAGAGGGTGGGCGGTGCGGGGCGGGGTGGGGGGCGGCCGGGGAGTCTGTGCGAAACTTGTGGACAAAAACAACCACCGGGAGAACGAGGAACGAGGCAGGAGACTTATGATAAAGGGGGAGGGGGTTGAGGTGGTGGAACAGGAGGAGGAAGAGGAGGAGGAGGAGGGGGAGGAGCAGGAGGGAGGGGGAGGAAGAGGAAGGGGTATCCACGTAGGCCGTTTGGGGCGGGGCTGGCGGGGCGCCACGTGCTGGACGGGACGGCGCTACAAAAGGAATGAATAACACGGAGAGGGTCCGGCGGCTCAGCGGAGCTCTGCTCACGCTTTTGTCCCGCGGGGGACTGCCGAGCTGAGGGGTAGGCGATGCAGGCAAGCATCACGCAGCAGTGTGAAGCAGACGACAAAGTGAGAATACGGCGAACGCGCATGAGACACTTTACTGGTGAAAAGTGAAACGGGCGTAAGTCCTCGGACTTCCCATTATTGGACTTACGCCCTTTTCACTTTTTCACTTTTCACCAGTGACTTATCCATCCCCTTTCCGTCCTCCCATACCGCCGCCATCCGAAAAAAGGCGCGCCACGCGAGCCAACATGACAATATTTAAATGCCGTGTGCAGTGGCGCAGAGCGGCGTTGGTATGCCTTGCTTGTCCGGGGCGCCATCCTTATAGGCGACGCCTTATCCTGCCGCACCATACCCTGCGGGTCGTGACCCCCGTGCGCTCGGTGCAGGAAGGAAGCATTATAAAAGTAATTCCACTCCTCTTTTCACCGACAAAACATAACGAAGGAGGAAACTTGACATCGTAAAAATGCCTCGTATACGACTGTAAAATAAAATACTAGTCACAATTGTAGAAATCGAAGCCGTACTGAAAAATAACGGTTTTAAACTGATGTTTCATGTCGCTCATCCAACACTTAACAGTCAAGATTTATGAGCTCTGCACCTTATTTTTAATTAATGGGTCGAACCTGTTGTTGAATCGTAGATTTGTTTTACAGATTATTCTCCCTTTTTATTCTTTCGCTATGCAGAGTGCAGAGCAAGCGCGTTTGAATGGCCTGCTATGTTAGACACGACGTCGTTTAATCGTCGTTTTCCTGTCGCCGAGTCTCGCCTGATTACAGTTAAACATAGAGATCGCCTGCTAGGACGTGATTCACACGCCGATGTGACCGGCCCGCCCAGCCCAAAGGCCTCACGTGACTAGTTTAAAAGGCTGTGATTGGCTGGTGACGGGCCGATGCTCCACGCCAACAGATGTTTTGGACTCCAAGAGCAAAATGTTCCGCATTCCAGGCCCCCCAATCGGCTTCGGGCGCCCCGAGGCGGCTGGGGAGGAGGGGGGAGGGGGGGCCTGTTGTAGTAGAGCGTCCTAGGTGTTCGCGCGTGCTCTTGCCCTCGCCGAATCATATCAGAATGAGTACAACAGGAGGTCGGAAGTAGTGCGGCCAACTACATATTGCTATTTAGAATCGCACACGGTGTCGCAGTGTTGTTGTTTCTCGCTGTCATTCGCCGTTTACGAACCTGCAAAAGTAGTTCAGGCACTACGAGCTTTCCTAGCGCCTGGTAGGCAGGCAACACCTCTCCTGAACAGCATGCATGCGTGTGGTGCGGTGGCCTACCGCGATTCTCGCAGGCGCTGAGTTTGCCGTATATTTTTGCCGAATGAATCTGAGTGGATCGAACGTACTTTCTGGATGATCCTTTATAAGCCATAAGGAGTGGTAAAGTGGCCACGGTGACCGACGGCAGGCAAAGCCCATCCATCAGATAAAAGTGTGCCCACTCTGCTCATACGCGCGGTCACTGTGAAAAATAGTAGAAAGGTTTGCAGGCAAATTTTCATTGAAGGAAGTTTACAATTTGTAATATCGTAAGAATACATGCACTACGCATCGCCGAAGAATCCATTGGCGAGTAAAAACATGTGCTCTCGTAAATTTACAACTTAAATTTTAAGTCGAGTTTACAAAAAAATTGTAAATTTACGACGATATTCTTCACAGTGGTATGTACAGTTAAAGTTTAACCTAAAAATAGTGCGGCCGAGCCTGCTATAGGACACCCCGTACACTATCACGCTGTCACAAGAGTTGAACCCGAAGGACGGCGGTGCGAAGAGTCATAACACGTGAGTCAATCATCAGAGGCTTTGCGCGACGATAAATTTCTCATTCCCGATATGAAGGTGAAGCGCCATACCTGCCGTGAGGCGGAAGCCACACGCGAATGTCGCCTCCCGACGCCAGCCTCCGGGAACGACAACTCCACACGTCATGAGAAATTTCGACAAAGAGAGAGAGAGAGAGAGAGAGAGAGAGAGAGAGAGAGAGAGAGAGGGGGAGGGAGAGAGGGAAAGAGAGAGACTGAAATAAGGACCAAAGACATAGATGGCGTTTGGATAAGTGCGGCGATATGAATGTAGTAGTTTTATTGTTCTGTATTATGTATATCGATGGCGTAGTGTAATGAGGGACTGGCTGCTGGCAGACAATAAAGTCGCCATTTGGACCGCTCTCGGTATTAAAATCTCTCCACACTCTGCTACGGCGACTTTTTTTTTCATCCGCTCGGGAAACAAGGCCCGTCTACATATTTCCGAACGCTACCCCGCGCGCTGGCAGTCAGGCGGAGAGAACTGGCGCCAATTCGGTGCAGAAAAAAAGTGGCAAAACGTGTTTGCCATTGCGGCGGCCAGCACTATAAAGTGGTCCGGCGGCGACTGCGTGCTATTTTTGCCATTTCAATAAAATTGACTTTGTTTCTAACCTTCGGCGATTCGCACGCGTCACTTTCAGGAATCCACGAAGTCCTATGAGACGACTCGATACTACGACGTCTTCCGATGACTTTCTTCAATCTTTGCTAAACACTCTCGCATGCTCTCCAATTATGGGTACGAACCGTTTCTGATGTTGACCCCTCGATGGCCACAACCAGTTTTACTGATAGCGGGCGTCAAGTTTACTGTGACACATTAGCATGCGCACACAGGCGGATGTGAATAAATTACTCAAGTATTATGACTTCCGCGCAGCGTTATTTCCCTGTTATGCTATACAGTACCGCGCTGCCACCCCTTTCTTCTATTTTTTCCCTTTTTAAAAAAATGTTTTGTCGCTTGGCTGATGTTATTTTGACTCTAATGGAGGACCCGCTCGGAACTAGCCCGGAACTCTTGCCAAGTCCGGACCGAGTGGATTTCGCCCCCTTCCTGGGGAAGATGGGGCTCCGTAGTGAGCGAGCGGCCAAGCGCGAGTTCGTGTCGTGTGCGAGCGAGCGAGAGAGAGAGAGAGAGAGAGAGAGAGAGAGAGAGAGAGAGAGAGAGAGAGAGAGAGAGAGGGGGTGGACGAGGGGACAATAAAGGGGGCAGCGAATTTAATATTCTCTCAGGGGCAGCATCGGCATCGATCGGACATGCGCAGAGTCGAGGCGCTATTTGTTGCATGTGTTCACCTTGTGTCTGAGTCTCTTTTTCTCTTCATCTTATCATATGAACCCTCGGGAAAAATAGTTAAACGCACACCGTCAATTTTTTAGATTTTTTTAATCTTTTTTTTTACAAGCACTCATTTTTTTAATATAAAAAAAAACAACTCTCACTGTTTAAACGGTTTGTCTTGGCGACGTGACTGTGCGTACACACTAGGTACTTTTGAGACATTAATAACATTAATACAGTACGAGATATTTGGGACCGACACTCACGGATCCGAAACATCACAGTTTAAATAAACCCCTCCGGGGAACTCCGGCTCGGGGCCCCAGTCCGGTGCGCCGGGCGGGTCCCAGCTGGCGGTGCTGGGCGCGCCTGTTACACAAGGAACAGGTCCCCGGCCACTGGGCCCGCCCAGCAGCCCACGTATTGGAAGCGTATGACCTGGAACGTTTCCCCCACGACTTGCAGCAGCAACAACAACAACGACTGGAGCCCGTCGGGCCCGCCGGGGCCCAGCCCCACAACAGACAGTCTTTCGTCTCGTTTTTATTTTTTTATTCATTTTTTTTAAAAAAATCCCCGCAAACTTGGAAGACGGGTCCCGCGGGAAACCATGACTCGCCTCCGACGAGCCCGACTTCCTAGTGTTTTTAGTTTTGAACTTTCAATTTCGGTCCTAAGGTCTCACCCGCGCCGCGGGAACGTCTCCGTCATCAGCACATCAATGGCAACTAAGAGAGTTTCATCGCACGATAGAACATCGGGCGGAGCAGGGG